AAACATCAGTGCTCTTCGTGGCTGCTCCAGCCCATCCCAGCTGCGTCCACTGTGCTCTGACAATAGAGCTCTGTGATCTGGAACACCACGCTGTGTGTCCGCACCCCACGCCCGCCCCAGCCGGTGCCAGCCTCCACCCCCTTCCCAGCCAGCATCCAGGCCAGGACCAGTGAGGAGGTGCTGCAGGAGCCCAAGGGCTTCAGGACCAGCATGAGCCACACATGCCCAGGATGAGGGGAGCCAGAGGCGGGGTCCCTGCCTGGGTGCCACCTTGCCCACACCACCCTGCCACCAGGCACCTCCACCACCGTAACTGCAGCAACAGGCCAGGCTGCTCCCTATCTCCATAGCAACAAGCTGCGCATGAGCTGCAGGAGGGGGAGGAGAGCCCTGGTTGGCAGGGAGGCAGGCAGGTGGCCACAGGGGCATCTGGTTACAGTCAAGCAGTGCGGGTCCAGCACCACCTGGGGGCCCACCTGGGTGCTACAGGTGGCCCAGCCTCTGTCCCTTAACACCAGCCCTATGTCCCCTTTTCATGCCAGGGCCTGGATACCCACCCTAGGCCAAAGTCCCTCCCTGTAGCCTGAGCCTCCTCTCCAGTAGGGACGGGAGACCCTGCACCCCAGCTACTCAGTGACAATGACCTTGTCCCCCCACATGTGGCCTCAGAACAGACCCAGGTCTGGCTACCTAAGAGGAGACAGACCGCACTCACAGACAGGAAAACAGAAGCACCACACTTGGGGAAGGGGTAATCGTACAAGGCAGAGGTCCCAGATTCTGCCCCTCCTGACACCCAGCTCCGAACAGCTGCACCTCTGCCCCACTGTGCCACACTGAAGGCAGGGCAAAGCCTCCAACTTCCAGGTCCTGCCCTAGTGCCCAGCCCCAAAGCCCAGGACCTGCCCAGGAAAGGGGTCAGCCAGCCCACCCCAGCAAGGGCTCGGTGCTCCACTGTGGGAGCTGTGTGGGAGCTGGGACCTTCACAGCAGCCCAAGCACCTGGACAGGTTCTAGAGGCAGCCCAACCTAACAGGCAGGGCCACCCCTGCGAATACAGCAGGCATTGCCAGGTACCCCCACGGGCCACTGCTCCCTTCCCTGAGTCTTGGGGTACCCCCTAAGTGCAGGGGCCACACTGCAGCCTCTGCTCCCTGGCCCGAGGGCCCTTCTCAATAAGCATGTGCCTGGGGCTAATTCCAGGCCTGCTGACAGGCCACCCTGCTGTCTCCAGCGACCCAGCAGCTAGAGCTGTAGACCCAGTCCTGGAGACTTCTTGCCACCTGGCCTTGGGCACTAGGGCAGAGTGCCCCAAGCCTGGCTCCCTGCCAGGGCCAGGTGATAAGGTAACCCTGCCCGGCCGTGGTGTTGATGGCCATCACAACTTCCCAGTGACGAGGTCTCTGCCTTGGACCTTGAAGCCCTTCCCAATGAGGAGCCCCTCCTAAACTCCCGCGGCTCTGCACCTTGCCCTGGGAAATCCCAAGGGCCCAAACAAACGCTGGCTGACCCAGGCCTCTCTGGTCTCCTGAGGTTGAGGCAGGGAGGACAAGCTACACGGGAGTGATACCCGCAACTCCTGCCTCTGACAGCTCCTGTGCACACCCTGGGCCCAGTGCGGGCCACCTGGGGTCACTGCCACCCACAAGTAGATCCGCCTGGGGACATCTGCCTCCAAAGGACAAAGGGGTGTCGGGCGAGGCTGGCACAAGGACATCGGGGTGGTGAGAAAACAGGAGCCAGGGCTGTGGACGTGCCAGGAGGGGGAGGATGGGGTGGAGGAGGCCGGAGGAGGCCGGGCGCAGGAGCGCGACGGGGACCAGCTCGCCCCAAGGGCAGAGCGGCGGCAGGGAGGGGAGGCCGGG